CTAACAAGGGGACTGAGCAGAGGCGTGGTGACCACCGAGTCCGGCATGAATTTGAGCCAGAAGGTTCCGCCCTTCCTCTTCGGAGATGCACCTTTGAAGGACTCCGGTAGTGCTTTTCTTATAAAGCTCTCCCTCATGGACTCTGTAGGCTTTAGATCGCCGCACTATGCAGCGGGCCTCGTTTTGGTCCTCCGGGAGTTCCTGCCTAATGAGGTAGGCTAGGAATGGTTCTATCCACGGGGTGATAACCGCCATTATTATGTGGGCTGAAGGTGTAATTTCGTTGGCAGAGCCTCCGATTGTGTCAGATTGTTTGGCGTCGAGTGGTGCGGCTGGCTTCGGACTGTTGTTTGCAGGTTCCCCCTCCCATGCTACGGATGGCTTGAACAATCTTTCCAAAAAGATGTTGGGGGGGGGGGGACTGCATCGCGTTTTGCTCCGATGCGTGCTAGGACGTCCGCCGCTTGATTGTTTTCTCGGGCTATATGGTGAAACTCCAGCCCTTCGAACCGAGCTGACATTTTTAGGACGGCGTTGCGGTAAGCTGCCATTTTTGGGTCCTTGGCGTCGAAGTCTCCATTTATTTGGGATATCACGAGGTATGAATCCCCGCGTACCTCTAGGCGCTGGATACCCATGGATACTGCTATCCGGAGGCCATGTAGGAGGGCCTCATATTCGGCTGCATTGTTGGAATCGGTGTACATGATCTGGAGCACATATTGGACTATGTCTCCTGTGTGGGACGTCAGGACGACGCCGGCCCCCAGTCCGGCCAACATTTTGGAGCCGTCGAAATGCATGATCCAGTTTGAATATGTGCCGTACTCTTTAGGGAGCTCGGCCACCGTCCATTCTGCGACGAAGTCGGCCAAACTTGCGATTTAATAGCTCGTCGTGGCTTATAGGTTATATTGAACGGGAGAAGCTCGATGGCCCATTTTGCAATCCGGCCCGTTGCATCGCGGTTGTTGATAATATCGTTGAGTGGTACTTCCGAGGCTACTGTTATGGAGCACTCTTGAAAGTAGTGTCGTAGCTTCCGGGATGTCATGAATACCGCGTATGCACTCTTTTGATAATGCGGGTACCGTGATTTGCATGGAGTGAGGACAGTGGACATGTACTGGACCGGCCTTTGAAGGGGGAATTTGTGTCCGTCCGTTTCCCGCTCGACAACGAGCACTGCGCTGACAACTTGGTGTGTTGCTGCAATGTACAATAACATTGGTTCGCCGGTGTTTGGCGCAGCCAGGACTGGGTTTGTTGCCAATATGGCTTTTATTTCATCAAGTCCGGCCGTCGCGGCATCCGTCCACTCGAAGTGTTCGATGCGCCGAAGGAGGCGATAGAGGGGTAGTGCCTTTTCTCCCAAGCGGGAGATGAAGCGGCTTAAAGCCGCCACACATCCGGTAATTTTTGTATTTGTTTAAGGTCCTTTGGGACATCCAATTGTGACAAAGCTCAGATCATGGCTGGATTTGCTTCAATTCCTCTACCGGATACAATGAAGCCCAAGAGCTTTCCGGTTGGAACGCCGAAGACGCATTTATCTGGATTGAGCTTGATGTCGTATATTCGGAGGTTATCAAATGTAAGCCTCAAGTCGTCTACTAGAGATTCGACATGTCTTGATTTGACAACCACATCATCCACGTACGCCTCCACTGTTTTGCCGATTTGGTTTGCCAGACATGTCTGGATCATGCGCTGATATGTTGCGCCGGCGTTTTTTAGCCCGAAGGGCATTGTGTTGAAGCAGAATGGGCCGTATGGTGTGATGAATGCTATTGCAGCTTGGTCTGATTCTGCCATCTTGATTTGATGGTAACCGGAGTATGCGTCGAGGAAACACAACGAATTGTGTCCTGCGGTGGCATCGATAATTTGATCGATACGGGGGAGGGGGAAGGGATCCTTTGGGCAAGCCTTGTTAAGGTCTTTAAAATCGACACACAGGCGCCAGGATTTGTCCTTCTTTGGTACCATCACCAGGTTTGCTAGCCAGTCCGGATGGTTTATGTCTCTGATGAATCCGGCCTCCAATAGCTTGGCTAGCTCCTCTCCCATAGCCTGTCTCTTGGGTTTGGAAAAATGCCGCAGGGCTTGTTTGACAGGTTTAAATCCTTTTTGGATATTTAAGCTGTGTTCGGCTAGCCTGCGTGGGATCCCTGGCATGTCTGAAGGGTGCCAGGCGAAGATTTCCCAGTTCTCTCATAGGAACTCTCGCAGTGCGGCATCTACATCAGGGTTCAGTCGTGCCCCGATGGAAGCTGTTTTATTGGGGTCCGTTGGATGGACCTGGAATTTTACTATTTCGTTAGCTGGCTTGAAGGATGTGGATTTGGATCTCTTGTCGAGTATCACGTCATCCCTATTAACTGTGGAGCGCAGCGCAGTCAGTTCCTCGGCAGCTAAGGCATCGGATAGTGCCTCAAGGGCTAATGCGGCTGTCTTGTTTTCGGCGCAGAGTGCTATGTTCGGATCACTAGCTAGAGTGATAATTCCGTTCGGCCCGGGCATCTTAAGCTTCATGTACCCGTAATGGGGTATTGCTTGGAAGATTGTGAATGCTTCCCGCCCTAGTAAAGCGTGATATCCGCTCTTAAACGGGGCCACCTGAAACGTAACTTCTTCGGACCTGTCATTATCCGGCGTGCCGAACACCACATCTAGTGTGATTTTTCCTGTGCAGCGCGCTTCCCGACTGGGGATTATTCCTCTAAAGCTTGTGCTGCTTCGCTTGACGCGGTTCCAGTCTATTTCCATTTTTGAAGGGTTTCCTCATAAATGAGGTTCAGTCCGCTGCCTCCATCCATGAGCACCTTGGTGAGGCGAAAGCCGTCCATTATGGGACTGAGGACCAATGCGGCTGGTGCTCGGGCTGTTCGGAATCTAGGTTCATCACTTGCGTTGAAGGTAATGGCAGTGTCGCTCCATGGATTTATTGTTGCAACTTGATAGACTTCGGCGAGGCTGGGAGTGTTCTTTTTCACACATTGTTTGATGCGAAAGTCTCGAAGACTGTGAGAATGGTACTGGTGTCCTTGGGCTGGCTTTCCGCGGCCTCCGGAATTAAGAGGTCCTCGCCGATCTTGGCCACTTGCCGGAGTATCCAACATGCTTTAAGGCTGTGAGTTGGTGTGGCGTCCTCTGTACTGTGAATTCTATAGGGTCCATTGAGCCATATTTCCAGTACGGTTCCATGCCCTGTAGAGGGTTTTGGCTTTTTGGTGTTTATCTCGGGTGTCCTATGATGATGCACCCTCTTAGTTCGGACGGGGTTACTATTCAAGGCCGGATTATCCCAAAATTTTATTTCAGTTTTCCAGGCGCTTTCCATCGCACAGTATTTTTGTACTATGGACGCCAAGTCAGCGAAGCGTGTAATATCACGACGACTTACGGCGTTAAGGATTCCCTTGTCCGTGCAATTACTGCAGAAAATTGAGATTGCGTCTTCCTCGTGGCAATCCTTTGTCCTGTTCATAACCAGGAGGAATCTGGTGCAGTAATGATGTACTGTTTCGTCGGGCCTCTGCCTGATTTGGGAGAGACTGCTTATGATCGGGTGGGCGGGTGTCGTTAAATCTAAAACCTTACCCAATCCAAGATTCGGAGGCTGAAGAGTTTCCGAACTCTGAAGTTTGGATTCTTGGATGTTGTCCAATGAATCTGGCCCATTGCCTGATCCTAAGCTCAGGTCTTGAGTTACATCTCCCCCTCCGCGGGTATCCGGCTTGGAGGGGTCGGGAATTTGGACGTAGCTAGTCCTTAAAATAGATGAAGGGTCGCCGCACTGCATCTCTACCACGACAACGTGGTGGGTGACCTAGGGAGAGTTAATTTCTCTTAGATCGGGTTTAAGCCCAACCTGGTCGTAATCCGTAGCGACCCCCATGGCGGCGATGCGATCCAAGAGCTCGTTTACGGAAGAGAGCTCCATTGGATCTAGCTGCTCGACGAGCTCCGAGCTAACATGTAGGTTGCTATTGATGACCCGAGAGGTCACCGTCGGTGCAACAGCCGAACATGCGGTCATGAGGAAACCACCTAGCCGAAGAGTCTGGCCGACAGCCAAGGCTCCCTTAGTAACGGCGCCGTCTTTAAAGACGGGAGGAGGCATCCTTCCTGATTGCGACGGCACAGAGGAACTCTCAATGAAAGCACCAATGTCGGTGTCAAAACCGGCGGATCTCAGGTAGGGGGTCCCGAACTGTGCGTCTAGGCCGGATGGTAACAGGAGGCAGGGAACACGATGTTTTACCCAGGTCCGGGCCCTCTCGATGGAGGTAAAACCCTACGTCCTGCTTGATTAATGTTGATGATATGGGTAGTACAAGAGTTGATCTACCACGAGATCAAGGAGGCTAAACCCTAGAAGCTAGCCTATGGTATGATTGTTGTCTATGGAGTTGATGAAGTTGTCCTATGGACTAAAACCCTCCGGTTTATATAGACACCGGATAGGGTTAGGGTTACATAGAGTCGGTTACAATGGTAGGAGATCTTGAATATCCGCATCGCCAAGCTTGCCTTCCACACCAAGGAAAGTCTCATCCGGACACGGGACGTAGTCTTCCATCTTATATCTTCATAGTCCTGGAGTCCGGCTAAAGGTATAATCCGACTACCCGAACACCCCCTAATCCAGGACTCCCTCAGTAAGACTTATCCTACACCACTTTCATCTCATCCTTATACGAGTACTATTTTGTCAACATTGTAATTTCTTGTAGTACCTAAATACCTTCTCATCTCTGCTAATTTTCATCTATCCTAAACAGATGTATGACGGTGCAGTAGGCGATGTGACCATAACCGCGGAATGAGTCACTACCACAGACTTTACAATGCCATACACACAATTAGGTGTGTCTATGCTTGTGCTTGCCGAGGATGAACCGGATACAATCCGTTGGTAATTTGTAAAGCCACTAAATGGGAGGCTTTGGTTTGCAACAATTGTCTTCTTCTTCTATACTGGCTTTGTTGTGTGGATGATTGAACTGCCCAAAAATCAGGAGTACCAAGGATCAAGATCGAGACAATGTAGCACTACCCTCTACTTCATTTTCTCAACTTTGACATTTTCTCATGGTGAGTACTTTAAGCTTAAACTTCCTGACAGAATTAATTTGAGGCTTTATAATAAGTATTTTAATTAGTTTCTCATCATAGTTCTAAGATTATATAATCTTTTGGTTATTCCATGCACAGGTCCTATTATTAAAAGCCCCTTGTCAAAAATTGTTGTGGTGGTATGGTGCTTTGTGGTGCTGATTCTTGTACAAAGCTACACAGCAAGCCTGTCGTCCATACTGACCGCAAAGAGGCTCCGTCCTTTGATGACAGATCTAGACCAGCTCAGGAGCAGTGGTGACTTTGTAGGATACCAAGATGATTCATTTGTGCGGCCCTTCTTGGTCAATCATAATTTCAGTGAAAGCAGGTTAAGGAACTACACAACGAAAGAAGAATATGCTGCTGCTTTGAGGATGGGGTCCAAGAATGGAGGGGTGTCAGCTATCATAGATGAGATCCCTTATTTAACTTCTTTCCTCTCTGACCGTCGGTACAAAAATGATTTTAGGATGCTTGGATCCATATACAAGACTCCGGGATTTGGCTTTGTAAGCTACTCAACCTTAATGCCTTGGTATATTCCTGATTTGTTCTTGCAGTGCTATGCTGCAATCTAGATACAAAATAAGTTGCTGACATCGTGTTCTTATCTCCAGGCATTCCGTCTAGGTTCTCCGCTAGTGCACAATCTTTCGACTGCTATCCTACACCTAGCAGGATGGGATGAGGGCTCACGAATCGAAAGAAAATGGTTCGGCTCAGCTTCACCTCCAATGGGTCCTAGCATGGTCCCTGACATGGGCTCCACGCCTCTGACTTTCCAAAGCTTCTCCGGTCTCTTTGTCATCACAGTATCCATTTCAACTCTAATGTTGCTGATAAGCATTATGAGGTCAATTCATGCCAAATGCACTGGGTTGACAAAGGCCGAAGATGAGTCTCGTCCGTTGCAGAATACCATGGGTGGCGACCCCAGCCCTGTTCCACAACCCTTCCCTGTAGATGGCAGTGATAATTCCGGGGGTGTCGAAGGAAGTAGCGAAAATGTTGGGGGCATAGAGCCTGACTCGGTGCAGCAGAATGGCATCCAGGATGCATCTGTGCATGCAGGACACATTTAGATTCAAATTGAGTTGAGCAGTGTGTGAGGTGAAGGGGAGTGCCAGATGCTCGCGAGTATGTCTCTCGTCATTGAAGTGATGCTGCATTCCAAACGTTGGACTAGGTAGATTAGTTATTTCTCTCGTTCCCTCTATTTTGGAAAAGAAGAGACATATGTTCAGTGTGCATATTCTCTTTAGACTGATAATTCTTATGCTTTTGAAGTAGTACATTCTTTAACCTCATTTGTAAATTGATGGTGATTTAGACATAGGTATAGTCCTCAACATGCAAAGGTAGTATTTGTATTGCACAACTGACCCGAATGTTTGAAGTTGGAGTAGTTCATGATTTCTCTACTGTCTCATGTAATCCGAACAGAAACAATATTGCATATGCAGTGTATCAAAAGGTTTTTTTTGTTCATGTCCATATTTTACCGAGCCTACATGGTCACAAACTTAAGGTAATCACGATCTGCTAAGTGTTACAAGGATGAGAATAATAAGTATATATTTGTGAAATAGTTTCAGTGATATTCAGAATAGTTTCGAAAGGAATCGAAAGCGTTTCAGGGTCATCGGAAGGGTTCAGAGTTTACCGGGCAAAACCGGTTATTAACGATAAATAATATATAGGTGGAAAATGTTTTCAGAGATGTTAAATTAATAATAAAAGGCTCTAATAATATTTAGGACGCTTTTAGACTTAATTAAATATCAACGGGCCTTAAAAATCCAAGTGGTGGAAGGAGAATTGGACCACAAGGGCCCAGTAGGGGGAGCCCCCCCTTTCCCACTTGGGAGGCTGAATTGGAGTGGGACAGGACTCCTCCTCCCTAGGCCGGCGCAAGGAGGGGAACTCGTTCCCTCTTTGTGGCGCCCCCCGTTGGAAATATGCCCTAGAGGCAATAATAAATTGGTTATTGTCATATTTTGCTATTCATGATAAATATTTTTTTGCGGGAATTGTACTGACCGGAAACTTAAATACATGTGTGAATACATAAACAAATACTATGACCCTAGTGAGCCTCTACTAGACTACCTCGTTGATCAAAGATTGTTAAGGTTTCCTAACCATAGACATGAGTTGTCATTTGATAACAGGATCACATCATTAGGAGAATTATGTGATGGACAAGACCCAACCATAAGCTTAGCATTCGATCACATCACTTGAGTTTATTGCTATAGCTTTCTTAATGTCAAGTATCTATTCTTAAGACCATGAGATCATGCAACTCCCGGATACCGGAGGAATACCTTGTGTGCTATCAAACGTCGCTTCATAACTAGATGATCATAAAGATGCTCTACAGGTATCTTCGAAGGTGTCTATTGGGTTGCACGGATCGAGACTAGAATTTGTCGCTCCGTGTGACGGAGAGATATCTCTGGGCCCTCTCGGTAATACAACATCGTAAAGAGCTTGCAAGCAATGCGGCTAATGAGTTAGTAACCAGACATTGTATTACGGAACAACTAAATAGACTTGTCAGTAACGAGATTGAACTAGGTATGAAGATACCGACGTTCGAATCTCGAGCAAGTAACATATCGCCGGACAAAGGGAATTGCATACGGGATTAACACAATCCTTGGCATCGTGGTTCAACCGATTAAAGATCTTCGTGGAATATGTAAAAACCAATATGGACATCTAGGTTCTTCTATTGATTATTGACCGGAGAGGTGTCTCGGTCATGTCTACATGATTCTTGAACCCGTAGGGTCCGCACGCTTAATGTTCGGTGACGCTAGAGTAATATTGGGATATGCATGGTGGTGACCGAATGTTGTTCGGAGTCCCGGATGGGATCCAGGACGTCATGAGGAGCTCCGGAATGGTCAGAAGGTAATGATTTATATATGGAAAGTTGTTTTCAGGGTTCTGGAAAAAGTTACAGTTCTTTCGGGATTGTACCGGGAAGCTTCCAAAAGGTTCCAAAAACTTCCTGAGGAGTCCGGAAGTCCACCAAGGGTTCCACCACGTTCCAAGGGTCAGCATGGGCTAATGGGAGGCGCACAAGTCTCTCACGGCCCTGTGGCTTGGGAGAGGTGGAAAGTCCACTGGTGTATGGATAAGGATGGAATTGGACTAGGAGTCCAACTCCCCCCTTGGTGTGCCCCTAGGGCTTGGAGGGCTGGCTAACATACCCCTCCACCTATATATAGAGGAGAGGGGGCGCCCCCAAGAGCACACACAAGCCCTTGGCCCCCTCTCCCTCCCGTTACTTTATAACTCCTCCGTCTTCGTTGTTTCGGTAGCGCTCGGTGTAGCCCTGCCGGAATCACTCCACCGCCATCACCGTCCCGCCCTGATGCTGCCGGCAATACCATCTACTTCTCCTCCCTCGCTTGCTGGATCAGGGAGGAGGAGACATCATCGAGCCGTACGTGTGCTAAACGCGGAGGTGTCGCCCGTTCGGTACTTCATCAGCTTGGATCGCGATTCGATCATGACAAGTACGACTACATCAACCGCATGATATACACTTAGCTTAACAGTCTACGAGGGTATGTATACACACTCTCCCCTCTCTTTGTTATGCTTCTCCTAGATAGATCTTGGGTGTTCATAGGACTTTTTTTGATTTCATGCAACGTTCCCCAATAGTGGCATCATGAGCTAGGTTTATGCGTAGATGTATATGCACGAGTAGAACACAAAGAGTTGTGGGCATTGAAGCTCAAATTGTTTACCTCTCTTGTATTATTTGGATTCGGCGGTATTGTGGGATAAAGAGGCTCGGACCAAATTTACATGTCCTCGCACATGAGACCGGTTCCATCGACTGACATGCAACTTGTTTTGCATAAGGTGGCTAGCGGATGTCTATCTCCCCTACTTTAGTTTAATCTAATTTGACAAAGGCGGTCCTTGTAGAAGGTTTAAAGGAAAATTTATTATCACCGTTGTGGCTTTGCATAGGTGAGAATAGTTCTTGCTAGTTGCCCATAGCAGCCACATAAAATTAGCAACAACAAAGTAGAGTACATCTAACTTATTTTTGCAGAGCATGTTGTGATGTGGTATGGCCAAAAACGTGATGTGATATATGTTGATGTGTGAGATGATCATGTTTTGTAATAGGTTAACGACTTTCATGTCGATGAGTTCTACAACCGGTAGGAGCCATAGGGTTGTCTTTAATTTATTAATTGTCATGTATTTGCTTTACTTTATCGCTACGCGTTAGCAATAGTTGTAGAAGCAATAGTTGGTGAGACGACCACGTGATGACACGATGATGGAGATCATGGTGTCATGCTGGTGATGATGGAGATCATGTCGGTGCTTTGGAGATGGAGATCAAAGGCATCAGATGATAATGGCCATATCATGTCACATATTGATTGCATGTGATATTTATCTTTTTATACATCTTATTTTGCTTAGGACGATGGTAACATTATGATATGACCCCTTCACTTAATTTCAAGAAATCGTGTTCTTCGTAAGTATGCATTTTTGCAGAAGTTCGTCGTTCTGTAGCACTTCATGATGATCAAGTGTGATAGACTCTACGTTCGCATACAACGGGTGTAAGCCAGTTTTACACATACAGAATACTTGGGTTCAACTTGATGAGCCTAGCATGTACAGACATGACCTCAGAACACAGGAGACCGAAAGGTCGAACATGATTCATATAGTAGATATGATCAACATGGAGATGTTCACCATTGATGAGTACCCCATCTCACGTGATGACCAGACATGGGTTAGTTGATTTGTATCATGTATCACTTAAATGACTCGAGGGATGTTGATTTAAGTGGGAGTTCATCAGTAATTTGATTAACTCAACTAATTATCATTGAACTTAGTCTTAACTGTCTTTGTAATTGTGTTGTAGATCAACGGCCCGCGCTGTAATTCCCTTGAATTTTAATGCATTCCTAGAGAAAGCTAAGTTGAAAGATGATGGAAGCAACTCTGCGTATTGGATCCGTAACTTCAGGATTATCCTCATTTTTGCACAGAAGGCTTATGTCCTTGATGCACCGCTAGGTGCCGCACCCCCTTCAGCATCGTCTATGGATGTTGTGAACATTTGGCAGGCACGTTTAGACGACTACTCGATAGTTCAGTGCGCCATGCTTTACGGCTTAGAACCGGGGCCCCGAGGACGTTTTTAGCACCATGGAGCATATGAGACATTCCAGGAGCTTTAATTGGTATTTCAAGCTCACGCCCGGGTTGAGAGGTATGACACCTCCGACAAGTTCTTTAGCTGCAAGATGGAGGAGAACAGTTCTATTAGTGAGCATATACTCAGAATGTCTGGATTTCACAATCTCTTGACTCAATTGGGAGTTAATCTTCCAGATGACACGGTCATTGACAGAGTTCTCCAGTCACCGCCACGAAGTTATAAGGGCTTTGTGATGAATTATAATATGCAAGGGATGGAGAAAACGATTCCCGAGCTCGCGATGCTTAAGGCCGCGAAGGTAGAATTCAAAAAGGAGCATCAAGTGTTGATGGTTAGAAAGACCACTAGTTTGAAGAAAGGCAAGGGAAACTTCAAGAAGAATGGCAAGACAGTTTCCACTCCCATGAAGAAACTCAAGGCTGGAACCAAACCTGAGACTGAGTGCTTCTACTGCAAGGGGAATGGTCACTGGAAGCGAAACTGCCCCAAGTACTTAGCAGATAAGAAGGCTGGCAACATGAACAAAGGTGTATTTGATATACATGTTATTGATGTGTACCTTACTAGTGCTCGTAGTAGTGCCTGGGTATTTGATACTGGTTCAATTGCTAATATTTGTAACTCTAAATAGGGGCTATGGAATAAACAAAGACTGGCTAAGGACGAGGTGACGATGCGCGTCGGAAATGGTTCCAAGGTTGATGTGATCACCATCGGCACATTACCTCTACATCTACCTTCGAGATTAGTTTTAAACCTAAATAATAATTATTTGGTGCCTGCATTGAGCATGAACATTATATCTGGATCTTGTTTATTGCGAGACGGTTATTCATCTAAGTCAGAGAATAATGGTTG